ACTAATCAAGTAATTCACCGCTTCGAAAGCTTATTGCAGAAATAAATTCTTAGATCATAGCATTACAAGAACACATCCAAAGAAGAAAACCATGCAAGCTATTTACAGCAATATCCAGGTAGTGCATGACAGTAACACAAGGTCTGTTAATCAGAGACCATGGAACCTGTCAAATAAAACTTTTTTTTTTTTCTTTTTTTTTTAAGTTCAAATTGCAGCAAATGAAGAAATTAAAGTTGCAATCCAAACAGAGTACTAGAATATCCCACGATTTCTCAGGTACCCTGCACGAGAAATTGTTTGCTCAATATTCTGCAACATGTCATTTATCTGCATATCATTTTTCTGCTAACACTGTAACAATTTTTTTTTTTCCTAGTAGCATATACATTAAGTGCTGCTCCAAAAGTAATGCTGCCTATTTGATTACATTGGCCCATCACATCAAATGCAGACATTGGCAGCATGTCAAAGTTAAACCTTCTCAAAAATATTCCTCTGTATTTTGTCACTGTGTGACAGATGGAAGCAGAGGAGCAGTCTGACAAAAAGGCATCTGACATGGAAGTGCTTATGAAGCAAAGGTGTGTGAATTAATTCCTCCACGAAGAAAAGTGACATACATTGACATCCATCAATGCTTTCTGAATGCTTTTGGAGACCAAACTGTGGACAAGAACACACTGAGGTGGTGAATAGTGCATTTCAGCAGTGATGATAGCAACATGAAAGGCAAGCCTTTCGGGACAGCCATGCAGATTGTTATGAGCATGGCATGCAGGCTCTTGTTTATCACTGGTAAAAATACATAGCTGACGTTTTTTAGTACATTGAAAAATAGTGTTTTATAGCTGAGAATTTGCTCTATCAGAAGTTTTATTGTGCTCTTTGTATCTGTTGTAGTTTTCACAGAATTAAATAGGAGGCATGACTTTTGGAGCAATCTGTGTGTATATACTTACGTATATAATATTAGCAAAGTTGACTCTAGTGTTCCATATGGCTTACACATAGTTTATTAAAAAACTTAACCGTTCTTTCTGTTACAATACTCTCTCTAAATTCCCCCCTGAAGGTACTAAGCAGATACACACTTTGAGGTTTGCATTATTAACAACAGCCTCTAAGATGGTTTACAGAAACAATACTGAATGTTGTCTGTATCTCAAATAGTTTGTCTATTTAAAAACAACAACATTTTTTTAGCTCTTATTTTTAGAACATTCTAGTTCATTTGCCAAGACAGCTGTGTACAGATTTACAGCAACATCTTGAAGCATTGATAGTAGTGATGGGAAACACCAACTTTTAGATTTCCTGTGACTATTTCAATGTGATACTGCACACGTAAATTTGTGACATTTATTTTGTATATATGTATAAATGCTGCATATAGATATATATGAAGTACAGTGATATGTACATGTTTCAGATACATTACAGCTGTGTTATGCAGCATCTATTTGTTTTCAAGGAAATGTTATTGTAAGTGAGGATTTGGGCAATGTTTTGAATTATTACTAGAAGCCAAAGGCAAAGAAAGATTTGATTGATTCGTAGTTTTATCACCAATATTTAAAATACGGTAATACTTTGCTTTAGGTGGAAGTATTTTGTTCCAATTGATTCATCTACATAGTCTGTAAGCTGATAGAGGAAATTACCATAAATGGAGCTAAGAACTCATCTTTAACTACATACATAGACCTATCATTTGCATACGACTGCTATCTTCAAATCCTTTCAGACTGTGGAATAACAGTATAATGCATATGCCCTGCCATTGCACAACTACCTTTCAGCAAGAGTAATAATTTCTTCCACACGAGACAAAGCAACTTACTTTTACTCACTTTGATTCAATGTAGCTGCTGGAAGCAAGATCATGTAAGCCTTTGGTTGGCATTTCATACACTGGCACTGCCTAGCACTCGGCTAAGAGGCAAAAGACTCTCATAACCTTCTGTAAACATGTAAGTTTAAAAACCCAACTCATTTTTTACTCAGCTTAACTGTTTTTCAACTTTTTAATATTCATTTTCTAAATATTAGAAGATTTACTACACATGATAATAGTGAAAAAAATAAAGAATACAACTGTAAGACAGCATATTGTTATTCATACCATCAGAACTGAGAATATTTCTCTGAAGTTTTTAACCATTCCTGAGATGATCACCTGTATGCACATTCTTATCCATCACTAACAGACATTTTTCTTCAACTTGAGTAAACTGCTCTGTAGAGAATCTCATTAACAGGAAGAATGCCTGTCCTTTACATAAAAGTGGTTTCGTTTTAATGGTTACAACTGTATTAGATTTCATACCCAAATATATTTAGCCTTTATGTAATTACAAACCTTTATGAAAGTTGTGCTCAGAACATTCATAATGAACTACATTCACTAATGAAGGAGAATTCCACCTAAGTCTCTTTTACTGTACATTGAAAGGGATGTATTTCAGTGGCAGAATAAAGGGATAAGGCCTACCCAAAGAATGGTTAAAAAAAAAAAGAAAAAAAAGAAAAAAAAAGCAATCATTATAAATTCCTCCACTCCAAGTTTAGTTAACAAACTCTCCATTGTTATAGCAATATAGAACACCAAAGATGTAAGAATCTTTCCTGCTGTCTTCTTGTGGCACACTGTATGTGTCTTTCAATCACTCCCATAGCAGCTCTCTGTTCTTTACAGATTGTCTTTATGTACATATAGGTGAAATCAGAGTCCAACATTCCTTACAGAAATAAAAGTTTGTTATGTGAGAGTTCCAAGCTGTACAGGAGTGGTTCCTATCAACTTCCACTGGTGTCTTCCTTGCCTACACTCTGGATGACTAATAAAATACATCTAGACATGATAACATAATTAAGAACAAGACTTTAAACAGAAGAATTAAAGAAATATGTAGAATATTAATCACTTTACTGAATAAAGTATAAAAAAATCATCATTACTATACAAATACAGGCTTGTTGAAAAATAGATTGAGAACAGTTCTGAGAAGGACTTGGGAGATAGTGGTTGATGAGCAACTAACATTAGCCAGCAACGTTTGCTTGTATTTCAGAAAGCAAGCTGTATCCTGGCCTGCATCAAAAGAATTGTGAGTAGCAAGGAGAGGAAGGTGATTCTTCCCCTTTACTCTGCTCTCATGAGGCCCTTCTCTCATGGATTATTGTATTCATTTCTAGGATCCCCAACAAATGAGGGACACAGACCTCCAGCAAGTCCAGAAGAGTACCACAAGGAGAATCAGAGCCTATGGAGACAGGCTAAAGAAGATGGGGTTATAATGACCTTTCAGTAGCTAAACTGGATCTAAAAGAAAGTTACAGAAGAACTGTTTTTCATGGAATATAGTGACAGGACAAGAGGTAATGGCATTAAACTAAAAGAGTAAACATATTAGACATTGGGAAGAAATTCTTTACTTAGAGGGTGGTGAGGCACAGGAACAGATTGTCCAGAAAAGTTTTGGATGCCCCATCCCTGGATGCGTTCAAGGCCAAGTTGGATGGAGCTTCACACAATGTGGTCTAGTGGAAGATGTCCCTGCCCACAGCATGGAGGTTGGAAATAGGTGATCTTAAAGGTCTCTTCCAATACAAAACATTGTTTGACTCTATTATACTTTTTATGCTACCTGAGCTGTGAAAACAGACAGGAAACAGCCTCTCAGACAACAGAAAACACAAGTTAGCTTAATTAAACCTAGTTCAGAGCTCTTTTCTAACACATTTTAATATCAAATACTTTATTGCAGGATACAAAAATACACTGCAATGTACAGCTGACTCCTATTTGTGAGCGGAAATTTCATTTGTGTTCTTTTTTCTCACAAGCCGTGACATAACCACTTCTACAGTTCACACATAAACCTCATTAAAAATTTCTGAAAGAACAGTATCTGCTTCATACCTTACAGAAAGCTAACATTATAAAAACATTCTTAGTTTATTTATGCTCAAGATGTTTATCTGCTGAATTTAACTTTCATTTATTTGTTCAAAACTGTTACTACAACTAGACTTCCTCTTCAATAATATCTTTCATAGAGAAAAAAGGAGAAGCATTTGCCATCTGCCACTAAATTCTAATCCCTGTACAGTAATCTTCTACACATAGCCTAAAGTATGCCTTGAAAAAGGGACAGCCCTACATGAAAAAGATCAACATTTCTCCATCCTACCAAGTTCTGTCACTGGTTAACATTCTACTAAGTGAATACGAGGTCATTTACATTATTAGTTTTTTTTTTTTTAATGTAAATTCATTAACAATCAGCCCTATTGACTGTTACCAGAAGAATAACTGAGAAAATAGCTGAAAATATTGAGTTTAGTGTATTTATTATGATCACATTAATATACCCCCATGGCAAAATGAGACTTACTACATGCCATTAAATTTGAGGAACCATAGCAACATTTTAAGAGGAATCTTATAAAAATGAAATTCGGTGTTGTAGGTTCTTCTGAAGTTATTTGACATTTCAGTGTCACATTTAATACTCTCGATCAATAATGTAATATACTGTACACTAGATTTCAGTGAGTGGAAAGACATTTTTGTATGCATGAGTTATCTACTGAAGTTATCATAATAAGAAACTCTTCTGTTAACCTGTCTTTGGATTTATGCTTTTTCCCTCTGCTTTTGATCAAATCTATGATAATTTTCCTAAGATAAAATAGAAAGAGATGCTGGGGAAAAAATAAATAAATAAAAAATAAATTAAAAAAAATCACTCATCTGAATGCAAATGGGCTGTTTTTTTTCCTCTAACTCCCAGGGCTTATCTTTTTATTACTATCTTAGAAAACAGGACAGTCTGGTTAGAGCCAGGGGCTAAATCAGAAATGACTTGACAATCCACTGATAACATGACATTTTTAGAATATACACTCTGCTCCAAGCTCTAGCAGCTATGACTGAATCATAAACTGTACAAGTCAGTCAGCTTAGGATTTGTTTTCTACATAAAGACTTAACAGTAATTCAAGGGTATTTTATTGCCCGAAACAAACTTTCATCTAGAACATTTATGACATACTAACATCACAGGTCAGAAAAGAAAGATTAAATGAAAGAGAAGTTTTGTTAACTAGATTTTCTTTGCTTATTTGTTTTCAATTGTATGAGTATCTGTAATTCAGTCTTAACAGTCAGGCTTCTATAAGTCATGGTATCTATTTAGGTTCTCTGAAAAAAAAAAAAATGTGGAGAGCAAGATCAATATGTAAAATATAAGAAAAAACTGGGGACACATATGTACATATACAAATGTATTAATGAGTTTCAGAGCACTTCATTCAGCCTTCCATCTTTGTTGATTGGAACAGAAGACTGTACTGATGCAGTTCCCACAGTCAATCTTTTCCTGTGTAGGAATGTTTATGATTTAGGATCTCAGATGTATTCTAACTGCTTTATACTCCAGCCTATATGTAACATGCTTTCATGTAGTCATGTATATCTGGCAAACAGGAACATTTTTTTTCCTTTGGAAGAGGTCTCAGAAGGGTCTCATACTTGTAACGTCAGATCAAAATCTAAAGAAACATACAGACTAGTCACCAGATATAGTTGATTGCTTCAGGTCAACAGAAATTTCAAGAGAATTGCTTTTCACGTATATCACTAGTATTATATCTTCCCTTGAATTTCAATTTTTCCTCTTATGTAAGGGACAGAAGTATGAAAAGGATTTAAAATGGGATTTCAAGGTAGATGAAATTAAGGTATAGGAAGGTACGTGGTATCTCATAACTTTCAACGTTGGTGTACAATTTGATGAAGGTTTTCTTTTTGTTTTGTTTTAAAGAAAAAATTCTAATTACTCTCCTAATTTTTCCAGGGGTCTCTGGAGAGAACATTACTAATGACATGAGTATTTGCATTTGGCAATATTACTAACTACATCAATATACGCATTCAGCAAAGCATATCGTGTTTATGAAGCTCTTCTAAAGAACCATTTTCAGAGATATTTTAAAAAACAGCTTGACTAAGGAAACATACTTCCATTCACACTTCACACCTCCATTTTTGCTAAAAGTATTGCTTTCAAAATGTACAGATAAAATTGATAAACTGAATATAGATACACTTGTTATCACTAGATATAGATTGTGCTGTGCTGCCAATTAGAATCATAAAATCTGAATTAATATAGTTTGTTAAAGAAGTAAAAGGATTGTTTCTTCCTGATCTTCTAGTAGTAATACTATTCTGATATTATTCTGTTTCTGAGAACAGAAAATTGATTTATCACTCCATCTACTTTCTCCATACAGCTCTTTTCCATTTCTCATGCACATAAAAAAGTCATGTACTACATTTGTCTGATTTGTATTTCTTTTCCCCCCTCTTTTCAGCATTGAACTATATAGTTAATGCCAACTTCTTGCTTCTACTATACAGAAAGTCATCACACACTCCCCAAACTATACTTCTCAAAAGACATAAATACTAAGCTACGAATCAAGAAAGCTATTAAACGCACCTGTCCTAGTAGCAATATCTTCAGCAAAGGGGTAAATTAAATGTGATAAACTAACCATCAGCTAAACAAAAGCATTGGTGTACTAGTGCATCAATTTAAGTTTCAAGTGTCCATAGCAGTTTTCAAGTGTGATCAAGTATCACCTTAAAGACAGATTTTAATTGTGTATTAATAACAATTAAAATGGCTCATATCATTAAATGGTGAGATATTACTATTTCTTTAATTACTTGTGTGTTAAACTTGATTGTTGGCTGAACTGTAGTAAAATAGGAGGAAATAATTTTACACATTCAAAAATATTAAGCATATTTTATGTATTAGTGTTGACATCCATATTTGCCAACTTGAAACAAAATCTGATCCAACATTATTTCATAAAAAATGCATGCTGCTAGTACCTTGTGTTAGTCAGAATAAGAAAAATGAAGCTGAACTGTATATCCTGAGAAGTCAAGATGTATGGGTTCAGAAAGAAGAAAGTGACAAATTCTGAATCAGGATAAAAATGAGACAAGAGACAAAGAAGTAGGCTGACATAAGCAATCTCTGCATACTGGAGTTACGCTTGTTTATGTCCGTATCAATACATATGCAGGCACAACTATTGTGAAAATCCCATATTAAAAACATCCTTCCCCTCCCAATTAAATCAGTGTTACTCCTCTGAAGTTAGTTTTTCACAAGTTTCTTCTCTCTATTCAGGGCCTGTCAGACACAGCCACATATTATCTTCCAATAGCTGGACCCTTCAAATTAGAAAAGGTATCTCTGTGAGATTTTTAACAGAATGCATTGCCAATTCATCTCTTGAGTTCTTACTTTCCTAACTGTGATAAAGAAATCACTAGGATAAGCATTTAAATGTTAACACTACAGATTTGAGAAAGGAGATTGACTCCAATATTTAAAATGGCAGAAACACTAAAATAAACTTTCCACTCCCCTGAAAGAAATGATTGTCTAACCTAGGCAGCAAGTGGTCTGGAAACTGTTTTCACAAGGCTGAGACCTTTACTATCTGCCTACTTTCACCAAGAGTATTAAAGTAAGTGAAAAATATGAGAAAGCTCCCCCTTTTGGATAGCATATACATTCCAAGTTTTTGAACAAATTAGTCAGATATAATTCTCACAAGGCCTCCACTCTGATACATAAGGTTTCTTAATTGACACTTTTAATCTTAACTCTAATTTTAAAATTAGAATGCAATCATCACATATATAAGATTGCATTACTGAAATCTACAAGCTAATATTCTTATCCCAGTTAAAATGAGACAAACAGATTGCTTTTAATGCTCAGTGGCATTCTTTTCATGGACTCTTATTCCTTCATAAACCACTTAGATATAAATAATCCATGCACAGAGCAATTAGACCTTTTCCTTGTTTTATAGGTTATAGTTTTCAGGCCTGTGTAAGCAACAAAATATTCTAAATCCTGTAGTGCAACAAAACACATTTAACAAAGAGTTGTTCAATAATTTTTAAATTATTTAATCACTTCTCATTTGTCATATAATTATAGCCCTAACTAAGCAACAGAGTCAGTGACTCCGAACTAAGAAAACACTGCTACCTAAACTCATTATAGTAAAGAAAGTTAAAACGAAGACTACAAAGTGAAATGTAACAGCAGGATAGGATATTGAAGGAAATATATGAAGCTATAACTTCCATACAACTGAAAATTCAGAACTAAACAAAAACTTATTGCCACACTCTTTATGGTAGAGAAGAAAAAGCTACCCTGCTACTTTTAAAACTATGATTCCATACAATTAAAGCATCACGTGATTTACAAGGGATAGCTGGGTAACTGAAATCAGAGAAAATCCTACTGCTTCAGCGGCCACCACATCAAAACTTATGTGTTTCTTCTACTTTGTGCAGAGAAGGAGAAAAACAGAATGAAACCGAGCTAGAGCAGAAAGGTGTCTACCAGATGGAGAGGGTATTTGGCTGAGGTATATTTAGCTTAGTCTGTATTGTTTTGGGGTTTGCTTTTCTTGTTTGGTTGTTTGGTTGGTTTTTACATAAGTGTTATTGATAATCTTTATACTTTAAAAATATAGTCAGGTTACACAGAATGGTGCAGCATCAGTAAAGACGTTCTGGGAGAATTAGCAGCAGTAACTGAATTATTTGCTCTCCTCTGCGTAAAAAAAGATTCAATATTGCCAAGGGACTTACATTCAAGGACAGAAATAGAGTGAGAAAATTTTTCTTAATATTCCAAAATAAATTCAGACTTTAAAAGACTGAAAGAATGTTAATCTGTTTTATGCATACACAGTTTCTTTTAAGACAAATTAATTATGCAGCAGAAGCATTTTAAGCGTAAAAATACAGGCTTTCAAATGTGAGTGCTAAGTGTAGTACAGGGAAATGAAACCAATAGAACTGATAGAAGGAGATTGAAAGAGGCTAATTAGAAAATGTCTGGGAGAACATAATCATTTGACAAAAAAAGTAAGATAAAGCAATGTGAGCTTTAGCAGATTATTAATTGTCTGAGATTTATTATCTATTCACCTTTGAGATCAGTTTTCCCCCCCTCCAATTTTATCTCAACTACAAAAGTGCAAAACAGCAAATGTAAAAACTAGCTATAACGAGGTCACAAGCTAACTGTATTCTTATTTCAGAGTAACATCCTCAGGAATGTGATACTGTACAATAAACATTAGTTCAACCAACTAAGATTCTAAACTGGAAAATTATGACCTGATTCTTCCGTTCCTTAGTTTTTCATAAAAGATTATCTTAATTGTATTTTCTGTAGACCCCAATTCTACTAACAGTTTTAGTGCTCTGAGAGACATCTCTTTCAGTCATCCTAAGTACATTCAATAATGCAAGGACTTTCTTTCCCAAAGAAAGCTGGCACAGGTTTCATTATAGCAATCACTAAGTCATGTGGTTAAGACTCAGATTGCACACAAGACCCTGAAATCAGGCCCATGAGAAATATGATTGAGATTACTGGTTTTCAATTGAATTAATGTGATAGTAATACCATTAAAAAATGGAGAGCAATTTCATGCAAAAATGTACGTAAATCATTTTCTACATACAAAGTAATGAGATATGGCTTTAAGATGGCTTCTGCACCCCCCACAGCAATGTTTTGATCATTAGTCATCTTTATTACAACCAGGAAAGTGGAAAACTTGATGCAGTTAGAATAAAGGCAGTCAGAACCAGATGTAAGTTATAGAACTATTGCGTAAATTTACAGTAGGCCTACCACCTCTACAAGCTGTCTTCACATTTACCTGAGAACTCCACACATAAAAAAGAACATATGATCAAACTTCACTTTTCAAAAATACCTCAAGAGAAATATGCTATCTGTAATAATAGTTTCTTGATTTGTATGATACATGACTAAGCTTTTTCAAGCAGTATAAAAATAACAATAGCATGAGAAGGAATGGCACTAAGCTGCAGAAGGGGACATTCAGACTGGACATTAAGAAAAAATTATTTACTGTGGGGGTGGATCAACTCAGAACAGCCTTTCCAGAGAGGTGGTAGATGCTTATTTTTAAGAAATGCTTGAAACACTTAAGGACTTAATGGAATAACTGAGTGAAACAGTGTTACAAAATCTCTGTCATTTAAACCTTTTCACAAAGTCACTAAAAAAAAAAAAGAGGGGATTCAGAAAGTGGTCCGATTCAGAGTATGATCAACAAATGCTTTTCTTTAGCACTTCTTCAGTACACTTCTTTTATAACATAGAGAACATCCTGTGAAATAGTTGATTTATAAAACATTTCCAGAAAAATATTAAGACATAAACGCCTACAAAAAGACCTCTCTTTCACTCTTGCTGAACATTAACCATAGTACTTACAATTCTGTCTTCTGAGCATACTTCCTTCCTTCTTCAGACTCTTCCTCAGGTGCATCCATTTATGAAAGAATTCTGCAAGAAAGTTACTTTTATTGTCACAGGTTATTTAAGGATTATGGACAGTAGAAGTAAGGCTGACTCTATCCTCTATTATCTCATTTCTATACTGATTCATCACTACATTACCTCACTACCAAATTGTGATAATTCTACTCAATTCAAAGCAGATATCCTCTCAAAAATCTACAATAGCACATCATTCATTCAGACCCACACATTGCTATTTTAAACTTGAAAACCAAGGTCAAATAGTGATGCTAGAACCATTGCTATTTTATTGGAGGCAAAGTCTACAATAATTACAAAGAAGTTCTACAGGAAAGAAAAAAAAAAAAAAAAGGAAAGGAAAGGAAAGAATGGTTAAGCACGGCAAAAAGCTTAAACAGCTATCTATTATTCCAGCAGTAATCTCAAAAATAATATTTGTTTTTTTCCTTCAAAATCACCTAGTTCAAACCTCCCTGCTAAAGGCATGGACACATCCCACTAGACCAGGTTGCTCAAAGCCCCATCCAGCCTAGCTTTGAATGCTTTGGGGCAGAGGGCATGCACAAACAAGTAATCATTTACTATATATTTGTTACTGGTTATAGAGACTGAGACAGGTGAACCTTTCTCCATTTGCATTTCTCATATACTAACAAAGAAAATACAAGCATTTTTATACGATCAGCTTGGAAAGCATAGGAATATTTACGATCCTAGCTTTTGTTGAGGAAAAGAGCATTTGTTATCCTACACAGTTAAACTTCACTGGCAGAAGGAATGTAAGTTAAAGTGTTACTCATTAGAGGAACTCATTAGGTAATTGCCCATTAAAGCTGTGGCCTAATAATTTTGGTAGACTGGCATTGTGGGTGGAGCACACAGCAGGCTGAAAGGAAAAGAATGATGCAGGAAGATTTCCATCACAGCTGAGAGCAAAATGACCTAATATAAAATGTACAAGTTCACAGACAAGGTAAAAGTTCTTTCTTTTCTGAGCTTGTTTGAATAAATAAGAGTGACAGAATATACTGCTTTTTAAATTAAATATCAAAATAGTACTTTCAATATTGTAAGTGCTTTTCAAACATTTTTTTTTTACTGAAAATAGAAAAGCAGAGAAACTTTTGGAAGCCTTCAATCAGTTCTAGTCAGCCTAATGTGCCAAATATTGTTCTTTATATATCTATTGGAGTGTTGCGACAGAGAAAAAAGGAAATGATGACATTTTCTTTCTGAATTAGGGTTAGTTAATCCTTAATTACTGCTGCATCAGTGGGAGAGAGAGGGGAAGTTTCTATGTTTGTAGATGTCTACAATTCAGTTTTAAAATGCTGTTATCTCTGTTAATAAGATTTACATATTTTTATTTTGTTTAGAAACTCCAAAAACAGAATGTGCACATTTCATGAGCACAGCTCGGTAACAAAACTATAAAATAGAATGCCAGAAAATACCACCTACAAGAGCCATCTATCAGCCATAGAAGTGCTCATAATCTTTTGATACCAATTGGAGTTAGTCCTCTTTCTTTAAAATTCATAGCATATTCTTGCTATATGGAGTCATTCTGTGTAAAAGTTTTGTGAAAAATAAGGGATGTGAATCTGCAACCTAAATAATGTCATGATTCTGCAAATATTTTGGTATGAACAATATTAAATGCGCACAACTCCATTCAGTTTAACCTATGAGAGCTCTTTGAACAAGTTTTTAAATTATTCTGTGCATCTAACACAAAAATCTAAATATAATTGTATGAACGTTTCTCATTGAAACATGCTCAATAACTGCTTAGTTTGAATTTGTATCTGTTTTCATCTTGGTTTCATCTTATTTAACTGTTTTTAACTGTTACAGGACTACAAAATGCTGAAATTGCTGCAATCACAGTTTTCCTTTTTTGATCTCATCATTGGAGACTACAAAACTCAGGTGAACACTATTAAACTTAGTTTTGCTGTGCAGTACAGATGTTGATTACAGGCTCTTCAGCTCCATCTTCTGGTACAATACTGTTGAAGGACAGCCTATTTAAACACCAAAGTTTGCCAGCCTTGACTTTATGAAAGGAATTCTGGCCTATCTTTCAAAACATATCACATGATATGAATATTTTACTGATAAGCAATCATTTTCTCCACAAAGTCCTTATATCTTTTCCAAATTTCTTCTAATTCCCAATACATAATGTAATTAGTCTCAAAAACACTCAAATCTACAGGGAATAAACCAAAACAATTTCAGAATTACATTCAACATTCTTAAAATTTTCTAGGACTTTGCGTATTTCAGATGTCTTATGACATCTACATATGACATATGCAGAATATTTCCACAAGTCATTCTAGTCTATATCTAGAATAACAGAACCAGCTCAAAAGCCTAATCCCCGACTCCTCAGAATTCAAGATCTCCCAGTATTACTAAGGGATTTAATCACATAACTCATATTGCAGTGAACACTAAGAACAAATCTCTTGAACACTTGTTCTAGCTTTCTCTGGTGAACTCTTCCTGCAGTTGCTGAATATTCTAAGTTATGTTACTGCTAAAACAATTCAGTGTTAAACCAAAATCAGACTGAAACATTGAAAAAAGCTAATCACTTTGATATAAGCTAGGTGAAAACACATTCTTAAAGAAATGCGATACTTATCCTCGAAGATTATGAACTGTTATGATCTGCTACTTCTCTCATTAATACTGCTTGAAAATATCAATAAACATCAATCTATAAATAAATAAATATCACTCACGACAGATTTCCCACTGTATAAGTTGTCTTACACACACTGTGATTTTTTTTTTTTTTTTTAAACACAAAACTAGATGAGAAAAATAATACTAAATTTCTCTGAACCTAGAATATTCCTGTCCTTAGAAACATCAATTTGAGAAGTTAGGAATTTAAGATTTTAATAGTAATTTTAATTATTGTTGATGTTTAAAATTATTCAAAATGAACACCAGCATCACAACATTCCATTATTATTGCATGTTACAGTTTTATGATGGCCAAGCCAGCCTGTAAACCACTGACACTGCACTGGACAACCTTTGACAATATAAAATAAAAATTCTCAAAGCATTAAAACGCGCTGAGTTACACCAACATTTGGTGGAAAAAAACTGCAGGTTGTACTGAGGTGGTACAGACAAGACACATTTTAAAGCTGCATCCCATAAAGCGCTTCATAGAACAAAAAAGACATTCAGTCTGATGACAGAAGCTCATTAAACATCCCATACATTTAACGTGCAACTGATTCACAAGTTTCTTGACTAAATGTGATTATAAAGAAAAGTTCATCCCATTCATACTCATATTACAGCACAGTCCTACGAACCACATAAGAGCTGCTGATCAATTAAGATGAAATTGCCCTTATACCTCCTTCCTTCCAGTGTGCTTTCAGGTTCAAAGTGCATTATTCCAGATCACAAAGAACAGTCATTTCTAGATTTACTTAAGCAGACAATTTGAATTATCTTGTTGAAGGGCATTTATCCATAATAAAGAATGCAGAGTTCTGTATTTTAAAATGGTATTTGAATGGAGAAAGAGAACAGCTAAGAACAGGTTCTATTTGGGTTAGAACTAATAGGTAGGTCAGATTACAAGGCTTTCATCTAGGTTGGGATTTAATAGCATTTGAGTCTCTCTGCTATCAAACTGAAGTGATTCTCAGTCATCCAGTTCTAGCAGGATGTTTTGACTAGCAGAATGTTAGATACTCTACAACAAACTTCTACTTTTCAATTCTCCAATCCTTTCTAGGAGACATATGAATTTTCCAAAGGAGTCTCAACTGTAACATAAATAATATTAATGCTATTTCCCACTGCCTTCAAAACAAAATACATATATGATTTTGTAGTGATAGATTCTCACTGTCTTACAACAGAAAAGGCTATTACAGCAAATTGCTTTCAATCTAAAAAAATGACACAAAGGAAAATTTATGAAGAACAGTACGTAAAAACATATTGGAGGACAGTGAATCCTTCGACAGAACTTACAGGAAGTAAACTTTTTAAAACTCTCTTCTAACATTTAGATTAGAGTAGGAATGAACTCAAGTCTTTCAACTCCTAGACAGACTAATTCCTATTTACCCTTCCATAGTTTACTGAACACTATAGTAGTTACATACAATGGGATTACTCCAAAAGGAAAAGCTATCATTTGATGAGAGATATGGGAGTTAAAAGTCTGAATTAACCTGGAAACACAGTTTGAATCTTACGACAAAATATTATATTAATATCTGAATAAAATTTCTACATTGTATTATCCATCCATATGGATCAGGCAACCACATCACAAATGCTATGAAATATCACCTCCTAGGAAGCACTTGAACTAGCATATTTGCTACAAGTTATCTTTCCACTTCAATATGACCCACTCCTCCTGCAAGCAGGAATACCAGAAGAATCTAGAGGTCTGTGAAAACAGGCAGGAATTATTTGTCATAAAGGTATAATGAGGACTGCTCTGGCAGACAATGCCCAATCTCTATGAATGCAAAAGTGAAATTATAGCTTTAGTGAGTGAGTAACGAGGCCATTACAATTCCTCAATTATTTGAAATGAATTTATACTGTAAAATGGAGTTATAATTATTAACAGCTTGGTGTTGATTTAACTGTAATTTAACAATTTGTAATTCAATTAAATAAAATCAACAAGAAGTGAAATTCCATGCCATCTGACACATCCAGTAGACCGGCTTCCCCAGATCTTTAAATAATCTGGGATGATTTAAACAGTTCTTGAAGTATTTCAAATCATTTTCAGAAAAGACATAGGTGAGAAACTAATCTGATTTTCTGCATAAATTGGAGATTTACTGTAAAATTTAATCTACTGAGATCAGTAGAAGTGTTTCTGTCAAAGAACGAAAATACTTTAATTCTTACAATAAAAATTTGATCCCACAAATATTTTCCTTTGCCCCAGTGATCCTGAACTGGAGATGCAGATAGTGAAGTAAGCATGAAATATTTCATGTAACTGAGAA